AAGGGGGGGGGGGCTTCATTTGTCCATGAAACGCACACTTTTCATCCTTTTCATCCAAGTTTTTATAAAATAATTAAAAAGAGAAGAGCGGTACCTATGACTTTGTCCCGGCCCTTGATTTATCAAAATGAGTGCAAAATAGGAGTGCCCATTGGAGGTCTGGCTCGGTTCGGTTTGGTTTCTGGCAGCTTCAGTGCACACTGTAATAGATCAACTGCCAAAACTGATCGCCCGACACTCGGCCTTGAAAACAAACGCGTTTGTTATTCAAGGTCATCGTCGGTTTCGTCGGTTTCGTCGGTTTCGTCGGTTTCGTCGGTTTTGCCTTTCCCGTGGAGGAGAATCTAGCTAGCCCCAAACCGACAAAACCGAAACGAACGGAACCGATCATGTCAATGGGTACCGCTTTTAAGGGTGTACGAGTGATCTTGCTCAGTCCTTACTACACGTAATGCCTAGTGCGAACTGCAAATCGAAAGCATTAATTTGAGAAGGGGCTAGTCAGATTTTTCTTCATGGATGGGACAAACGCTATCATTCTGGCACTATACGGCCGAATTCAACTAACTTTGCCTGTGCCCTTTAGAATTAAAGCGTTTGTACTTCAAGGTCGTGAGTCAAATTGGTCGTGTTGTGCCAAAATGGTAGCTAAATTCTAAATTTGAACGTTACCCTATCCATAAAGGAAACGCTGGCTGTCCCCGTCTCAAATCGAGGAATCCGATTCGCAGTGTGAGCTAGCTACACGTATTACCAAACGCTCTGGTATTACAATTATTAGAACGCGTTTTTGCGATAACCCGTCCGGAAGACTATGGTCAGTCAGGCGAGACTTATTGTAGATAAAAGATAAAATACATCTTTATTGTCCAGATCTTGGCACATCAGTTTGGTGCTTCACCACGCACACACATACACACACGCACACACGCATACACGCACACACACACACACACACACACACACACACACACACACACACACACACACATACACACAAGCACACACACACACACAAACATATGTACACACATGCAGTATGCTTGCAATCACTACATACTCAGTATTCTGATTGTAACTCATTGGTATTCTGATGCATGCTCTAAAATCATATTTAGAATACTTATACATGTAACAAGATGATTAAGATGGAAAAAGTTTGATGGATGATGGTAAGAATGACCTTATGGTAGACAGCATTATACATGTACATATATTGCGGTAGACCGTCGATCAGACAGGCACCAACAAGCTCAAATTACAGAAATGGAGTCCAGTACCACGCTCCTTTTGTCGAAATTCTGGGCTGATTGAGAAGAAGTCCTTATCAACTAGAAAATAACACCCCCCCCCCCCCCCCTCCCTCCAATCATCCCCAAATCTCACAAAGAGGAGACTTGGGCCCCAATCTCTAAAAATTCTTCAAATGTCTTAGGTTCATGAGCATGAAGGGGGGCTCTCGTGGTCTAAAGGTACGGTGTTCGCTTCTCGTTGAATAGGTCCAGGGTTCGAAACCTGACAGCGACGGAAAATTTTCGTCTCTAAATTGTTTTCCTTTCACTTCCTTTCCTACTCTCTAATCATGTTCTATCATCTGGTTTCATCTGCACTTTCTGGTTCCCCCCCCCCCCCCAAAAAAAAAAGAAAGACAAAAAAGCAGATCGAACCCTGTTGAGTAGCTACATGTGTTACACATGAACCACTAAGTTTTATTAACTGAACTTACGGTAAGCGTACGAGTCAAAAATATAAGATGCATGTCAGGGCAAGACTTTGTGAAACAGATGCTCTACAGTAATCGCTACTAAGTTCTGCTTGTATCTGACAGTTTTTGCCGTTTTGAGTTACTAAGGCCATGAGGTCAGAAACCAAATGTTCTATCTGCTCTGTCTAAATCAAAAGATTACTCGAAGTCGTTATCAAGATAGTCAAAGAATTGCATTCAAATAAGCTTGACATGTAGTTATTTCACAATTCTTGACGTCACATTTTTTTTCGAAAATGTACAGGGTAACAAGTTATGAAGACAGGGAGAGAGAGAGAGAGAGAGAGAGAGAGAGAGAGAGAGAGAGAGAGAGAGAGAGAGAGAGAGAGAGAGAGGGGGGGGAGAGAGAGAGAGAGAGAAAGAGAGAGAGAGAGAAAGAGAGAGAGAGAGAGAGAGAGAGAGAGAGAGAGAGAGAGAGAGAGAGAGAGAGAGAGAGAGACGGGAAGGGGGGTGGGTTGCATGTAAGCTACGTGCAGCCTCAAAACTTTTTTTTTTTTTTTTTTTTGGGGGGGGGGGTCAAACAGAATGGATGCGACGCTACTTTATATTTAGAGCATTTTTCTTCAGACGAACATGACCACATCCACCAATGACTGACACACACACCATATACAGTGTTAGGAGTAGAGTGAACTGAGAGAAGAATTCATGGAAAAATAACTGCGCCAGTGTTTTTTCCGCATTTTGCAACCCAAAGCACGAAATCAATTGCGTATGTACCATCATAAACACAACGCGAAGCAGACAGATCTAATAAAACAGTACACACGCACACTCTAATACATCACGTACAATGAACAAGAAAGTTTGTTTTGTGTCAATGTTAATGCGATGTCATATTTTTTAGCTAATCTGATGGGAAGTAACTCTGATTTTTTTCGGACGCCACCAAAACAACTATGGCGGACGACATACACGTCAGGCTCTGTCTGCAGGAGATCGTGAAACTCGACTTGGAAGCTAAAGCCATTATTCAAGTGAGAGTCTATGTTTCTAACAAATTATGAGGATTCAATTTGAAAAACCCTAGATCTAGAGAAATTGGGAAAAAGAGGGGAAGTAGCCTACAAATAATTTTCCGAAAGGAAGAGGCTAGCCGTACTGCTGTTCTTAATTTTAATGACTGCTAGGCTAGCCGTACTTATTCTTAAGGAAGTGGCTATCCTCACCCGGGGTGAGAATAAAAATACGATCGACCTCCCACCCTGGGTGAGACATGCCACCGTTGGCTATTCTCACCCGGTGTGAAACAAGACCTGTTTTTCCTAATTTCAGAATAGGATAGGCTTACTTTCGCCACTTTCGGTGATTGTTAAGATTCCCACATTTAATTCCGATGTGCGTTTTTCATACCCTCAGGCATATTTCGCTTTGGTCCCTAACCCTAGGTTAGGGTTAGGGTTAGGGCCAGGGTTAGGGTTAGGGTTAAGGTTAGGGACCAAAGCGAAATATGCCTGAGGGTATGAATAACGCACATCGGAATTAAACGCGGGAATCTTAACAATCGCTTTACTTTCTATCGGTGTGGGATGATCAAATGGATGAAAGCAAAGAAAAAAATATGTTATAGCACAAAAATAGGCTAATTTGATCGTCTACAAAGATGCTATGGCTATTTCACTTTTCGAATCGAGCCGAATTTTGTTTTGCCCTTAAGTTCTCGCAAGATCTACTCCTCCCCTCTTCTCTCTCTCTCTGTCTCTTTCTGAATACTGTCTATCGAAGTGGACGATCAAATTGACCAAAACAAAGTAAAAAAATTATGTTAACCCTCGTAGCGCTTACCGGAAGCACTGAGCGTGCTCCGTGCCGGGCTCGCTTAGCCTTGACCGTTTGTGACCTGCCCCGGAGCGCTGGCCGGGTCGTTTTAGGCCCACGCGGGGAATGTAATTGTTTCATTTTGTTACTTGACAGTATGCACACATACATTCACCAAAACCCTAGACATTTATAAATTCAGAAAAGACCACTTTCCAGAGGTAGCCTATGGTCATGGTTTTCAAAATAATAAACGGAAAGCTGTTAATGAAACCAATCATTCATTCACTGTTCAGCGCTACAGGGTAAGTGACCTAAATAAACATTATAGAGTCTTCTATCCCTAACAGAACCCACGAAGGCACGCAGTGCCTTGACCCCTAGGTTATTTTTCCTTGATTTTGATTGGTTGAACCATTCTAGGGTAAAATTTTCCATTACATGACTAAATAATAGCAGCTAAAGGTGACGCTATTTGCTCCAAAAATAAAGTGTTCCCCTAAGTCGACAATAGTCACCTCGCGTGCTTGGGAGCTGGCCCGCCCGTTGGCGATTATAGTCGCCTTGCGCGCTCAGCGGAGTGAGAGAGGGGAGGCGAATTTTGTCGCCTGGAGCGCTACAAGGGTTAAAACACAAAAGTAAATTAATTTGGTCGTCTACAAAGATGCTACGGCTATTTAACTTTTCGAATCGAGCCAAACTACACGGGTCGCCATTTTGTTTTGCCCGGAAGTTCTCGCACTACTCCTCACTCTCTCTCTCTTTCTCTCTCTCTCTCTCTCTCTCCACTGCCCACAGACAAAATTGTACGCTTTTAGGCTAACAGTAGTATGTAATGGAACATTTGTTCACGGCACTTAATTCTACAATTTTTCTTTTATAATCACAGTGTAGAATTCTGTGGTTCAGGGTGAACGCAAAATTGGTTGGCCTGGATCTAGGCTATAATGGTGAACGCACACCGGATGAGAATAGCCAAAAGACTGGCCTGCGCTATTCTCACCTGGGGTGAGAATAGAAGTGGCCTATTCCTCATATGATGGCTAGACTGACCATAAAAAAGGCCTACTGAATTGTAAATAAATTTTTAGTTTACAGTACCTAAAGTATTTGTATTTGAGACGAAACTAGGTGCCTTAATGACAGTGCATATATATATTTTAAACCTCCTGTTTTCTAATGTTAATAGGGCTTAAGATTTATAAGTTAGTAGGCCTACGGCTAGACTGTCAGGCTAGCCATACTTGATGGCTGAATTGTAAATGAAATTTTTAGTTTGCAAAGCCTAAAGTATTTGTATTTCAGACAAAACCAAAAGGTGCCTTACTGACTTGCATTATTTAAACCTGAATAACTACTAGATCTAGGTCTAGAATCTAGATCTAATGAAACCTGTGTACTCAACTGTCAACAGGTTCGAGTCGATGCCCAAACCTAGATCTAAGTACGGCTAGCCACTTTGTTACCCAAATGTGCGTGTCAATAATAATCAGGCTAGAATCTAGATTGTAGAGTTACTCCGTAACTGCGCTATACCACAAACAATTAAATGTGGAGGGCGTTCGGCACATATGCGATTAAACGTAGAACGGCGCATCTTCCTGATTTCCCGCTAATTTTAGTTTTTAGTAATGTGATGTCATCACTTCCTGGGGTACCCCCAGACTATTTTTAAGAAGGCTGTGGATGTAGCGCTTTGAATGACATGTTTACAGGTATGTTAATAACATTTCGGGGTAGGCATACAACTTAAGAATCTGGGTCCCGTTTGTGTTGATGATGCCAAGTCTAAACAGACGGAACCTGGAATCGTAAGTTGTACACATTTCGTAATCCGGTAGGCTACTTGGACATGATGGAAGATCGTTAGATCTAGATTGTTGATGCTCAGAACAGTAAGAATGCTGATGTTTGAAAATGAAACACTGTAAACGCAAAGACAATAAACCCCTCGAAAACTGCAGTAAAGACACTGGACGATTACCCTCCCTCCCTCCTGTATGCTTCATCACTACATAGGCCCTACATAAACAACTGCAAAGAAACAAATGATAATTTATGGAAAAAACTGTTGGTCAGTCGGAAGGAGAAGAGAACCGAAAAAAAAATATTGTATTGTATTCATTTGTGTCACACCACAAATAATTGTATGACTTCTAACGCAGACACGCTGTCCATTCGGCCGTCAGGACTTCTAAGAGCGAAAGGTAGATTATGCTTTATATATACATTGATATAGACACTTCCTTCTTTGGTGCCATGCTGTTGTCTATATTAAGATGTAGTCACGTGATCGGAGGGATGTCCCGGTCTGACATCAAACAAGATGGCCACCTTGCCTAAAAAAGTTTGCAGCATTCTACGTTTAATCGCTTGTGGGTTCGGCTCACCGCTGCCCCCTAGCTTAAATTGAGACTTACCCGTCTACTCCTTTTGATTTTGCTTCGCCTCCTGCTCTGTTTGTGTTCTCTAACATCCGGGTCAACGGCACGACAGATCTTAAAAAATAATGTGTTAAACTGACTACGAATATCATGTCTTTTACCATGAGAAATCTTAAATCTGCGCAAGTAGTAATAGTCAAATTATAAGAAAAGAAAGATGCACACTGCATTCTTTAACTAAAGACACTCAACGTTAGCTCTTGTTTTACCATTAAACAAGAGAAAGTTACTCTGCATTTGTTCATGAATCATGCTGTGTCTGTGGCAGCCTTTATACAACTAAGAAAGATATATTATGCGATTAAAAAAAAAACCCAAAACTGTAAATACGTGGGTAGAATAGAGATAAACTTCTTGTATGGAATAAAAATAAGGACAGCTAACACATTCATTCTTAGTTTTTGTTTCGGAAATATGCGCGGACTCTTATGAATGTAAAGAAACCAGAACATTGTCAGTTATTTCAAATGATAATAAAAGCTGGAAAAGCCTGGTGCTGATTCAGTGTCACTGGAAAGCAAGAAATTATAACCCAATTACAAGAAGTCATCCCTGTTACAATGCCAGCCTTCAAAATCTTGACTTAGCGTTTTAAGAAAAGTAAGGAATTTCTGGAGTGCAAAGATACTACCGGTATTTGTGAATTACATAGTAGATGTATTTTGACACTAAAATTGATTTGTATTACTTCATAGAGAGACTACAGGGTAATTTTTATAAACTTTCGAAAAATATGCGAATATTCACAATTATGTCAGATACATGAAGTTGCATTTGGAGGATTTACTTCAAGCAAATTGTGTGCCTGATGGATAAAGTTGCAAAATTACAGCTTTCTATTATTTGAGCAGATACCATCTTTTCTGAGTATCTGCACCAATGTTATGTTTTTCATGTTCCAAAAGTTCGACAGTTTTTGTTAGGCGTTTGTTTTTTTTAACTGATTTTTTTTTCATTCACACTTGTCCAAAAATATTTACTATTTAGCATTGCCGACTTCAGCGTGTCTAACGAAATAACTAGACAAGTTACAATGTCCGTTCTTTTTTTAGTCTCAAGAGCAGAAATGCGTTTTTTGGATGCTACGTTGAAAAGTACCAAAAATTAAATCAGCCCAGACAGAGCGGCGACAGGGAGCTGACCCCTGTGACTCCGACGTGATAAGGCGCTCGGCGGGGAACCCCTCACTGCTATTACTATTAAAAATCCACTGCCGGTGCACCATGACACACACACACACACACACACAAAGCGTGTGTGCATGCACACTCACGCACGGGCACTCACACACACACAAGCGCGTGCCCACACGCACGCACAGCCCAAGCAGCCCCCTCCCTCCCCCCCCCACCCCCCAATTTAGCAGGGGGAGTCCTCCCCACCCCCTGCTTTTTTTACACGACTTTCATTTTTGTTTCCGATTGTGTACATAATGTATTTCTATGGAGTTAGGCCGGTACCACTTCTCCCGAAGAGATCCGATTCTTGAATACTTCTACGATGTCGACCTCGCTGAATAATTCTGAAATTGAGATATTTTTTTGATGATTTAGATTTATTGGAATTTTTTTACTTTCACTCCCATGCACAGACAGATGCACTGCTGCAGATCACAGATGTGACGGACACTAAAACTAAAACTCGCTATCATTTTCAAGAAAATTTTGATTCTTTTACTTTCACTACAATTTCATGATGCTTAGGTTTTGTAAAGCCCTTTTCTTGCTCATTTTAATCCAATTTACATTAAAATATTTGATGGTTTTTATTCTAGTTATATATATATATATATCACTCTAAGCTTTTTAATTGTGCAGTAATTTCCGCACTTTGGACCAATCGGGGTGTTTCAGTGGGGCAAGTGCTCTCCTATAAAATTGTGGCCTAAACACAGCAACTGCACTTTTAAAAGTGATGGCATCATTGTTAGAAAGTGTTTTTTTTTTTATTTGCTTAGTTTTCCTGTGATACCATACATCTAATGTATTATTTCTTCTGTAAGCATCATTTTCATCTAGATGTCATGCTTTGTGTGTATGGTTGTAGCTTCAGGTAGGGAAAAGCCTTAAACCTTTGGTTTTATCAATTGTGATGACCATGCTGTGTGATGTCCAAGGATAAGAAAACTTTGGCAGGGTTGGTCTCTTAAATGCACTGCGTTTAGGACAAATGTGTGTAATCATTTATTTTATTGTAATAGAATGTGTCGAACAGTGATTAATTATGTACAGTGGAAACCTGATATAACAGGGATGGTGGGAGTAGAGAAAAGGTCCTGTTATATCCGATCCCTGTTAAATCAGAAATGCAAGGAAAGTAAGCATTTGTGGACTAATCCAGCTGTACTTATTCATGGGTGGTTTCCCTTGTCACAAGTACCCACGAACAGGGGTTTTGGCACCAACTTTCTTCTTGCCTCATTAGACCACATCAGAAGAGCTTGGTCCACAGCATTTGCATCGGGTAGTCTCATCTTCTTTGGGTACAGAGCAAACTTTCCATGGGAGTATGCTGCCACTATCTTCTCTCTATCCTTAATAATGGTGTGAATCGACCCTTGTGGAATGTCGAACTGACGACAAAATCTCTGCCACTGGAGCTTGCTTTTTGTTAACAGCCTGGATTATTTCGTATATTTGTCAAATGAAAGGCAATTTCTCCTGCGCTTGACATCGTTGGTGACACATTACGCGTGCGTGTTGCTAGGTTTCGGGCTAGATCAAGTTCTGCAGCACACCGCAGCCCTCTCTCGCTTCAAACGCTGCGCGTGCTCGCAGTGGCCTGGCTTGCGTGGGCTTGCTTCATCACTGCATTACTCTCTCTCTCTCTTATTTTTACACATTGTTTACGAGCCTTTGTCCCTGCTATAACCGGTTGGGCTCCGATGAGGCCCTGTTATTGCCGATAACTTTTAATAGAGACAAAGAGTAGGAAAAAACGGGGATTTTAAAAATCCCTGTTATTACCGGATCCCTGTTATTACCGGGCCTGTTATATATGGTTTCCACTGTATGTAAATTACACCTGAAAACCTGAAAAATGTTTACTGAGTTATTCAGGGTACTCAGTTTAAGTGTGGATGTCCCATACCATACTCTATTACTGTACAGGAATGATAAGCTCTTTGTTATAAATGTTTTTTCTACTGTGAGCTTTTGTCAACAACTTTCTCAGGATATCCGTCAAGATGCTGATGATACAGAGGTACTTGATGACTATAATGCCCAGGGTAGACAGAAAATTTCCCAACTTCGTATCAAGATTGCTGTGAGTTAAATTATTATATTATATAATGCCTATAGATATGATCTGTTTGACAGACTCATTTTTCTTATTCTTCTGATATATTTTATGGGATGGAGGGTTCATTATCGGAGTATTGACTTTTCCCCTAACTTTTTGATCAAATTACTGGGTGTGGTGGTGATGTTTTTTTGTGTGTTTTTTTCTCTATACCTTAATTAAGAAAATGTTTGATATTCAGAGCTCATTTATTGATAAGACTTAGTATAAGTAAGGTATGTAGGGGATATAGATGCAGTCTGGTGGGAATGTCTAAAATAAAGAATATGATAATATATTTTTTATATATGTGCAGACACTTTATAAATGAGAACGAAGTAAGAACAGAATTTTGAGAAGTTTTGCTCACAAAAAAGTTGCAGGTGTTCACTGAGGTCTCTTTTTCTGGATTTTGTATTGTCCTATAATTTCTGCATCGTAATCACCACTTAGCTGCCGTATTAACGCTATTCTTTATTTACACAGGAACTAGAACGCCTAGGCTTGGAGCGGGATCGAGATTCAGACAGAGATGCGATCCTTGTTAATGTTGAAAACTTAAGGCAAAAATTATCCAGGTAAGCTTGTGGCTTATTTTGCTAATGAGTTTTTTTTTCTGTTTGTTTGAGCTAAAGAGAAGCTCATTGACATTATAAAGGTGATTCAGCTCAGTGAAAAGACAAGTCAGATCAATACAACACACGGCTGTTCCACATCACTGTTCCCCTTACTTGCCTGCCGACGTGACCTATGAGGGTTGAAATACAGACGTAATTGTTGGAGTGTTTGGTGATATTTGAAAATCCTTTCTTTTCAATGTTTCTCTTCTTGGTAAGAGCTGATGTATTATGTACGCATGTGCGATGAAAATCCCCCCCCCCCCCCCCCCCAATACTCTTTAAATGTTTTTAATACCAGTTTTTTGTTTTTTTTAACTTCCCAGCACAGTGACCAGCTTAAGACAGGCCTGTCTTACCACCAAAATGGCTTTAGACAAAAAGACAAAACAACAGTTGCTCTCTGGCAGTTCACAACTCAGAAAAAGGTTTGTCTGTCTAACAAGTGACATATATTCAATTAGATCTATATCTTGCTTTTATGGTTCCTTCTTATCCTTTACTTTCAACTTGCTTCAAGATGTGTGAAGATTTTTGAGAGCTTTGAGACAGGTACTTTATTTTCAGACTTATTTCCCTTCTCTCTGGTGTTTTGAAATCAGTATTTGTTACGTTTTTGACAAGGCACAGAGCCTTACAATTACAGCACAGATACTGGTCTTATATTTATGTACATTTTAACGGTAATATAATTTACATTTAAGAAAGATTATTATGCAGGTGATTAGAGGGTGCCAGTGCAGCACAATGAATCTCTTCTCCCAGTTTCACACTCTGTGAAACTAAAATAGCAGGAAAACTCATTGTTGGGGTCTCAAGCTTGTTCGTATCAATCTGGTGTACAGAAATTAGGTCAATTTTACTTGTACTAATTTGATCTGAATGTGACTATATATGAATAATCTGGTTGCTATGATATTATTAATGTCAGTACTTGTATCTTTATGGATCAGAGACTTTGGTTGTGTTGGGTTTGTTTTTGTTTTTGTCTTTAATTCAGAACCCTGCTCTGTTTACTTTTCTAGTTCATATTCTTTTGTTTGTTCATTTGTGACTTGCCTGCTTGATTTCTTCCTCAAAGGAACCAGGGTAACAAAGAGACTCTTGCGAAGACGGCAAGTGCGATCTCAGAAAATTTGATCAGCTTGAACAGAACCATGGCAGAGCAGGTGAAGCAGAGCGAGATGAACATTACCACTTTAGGTGAGTCAACAGGGGGGGTGTTTTTGGTCACCACTCATAGCCTCAAAGTGTTTTTCAGTGGACCTGTAAAGTTTACCTTGTCCACTTGTCTTATTCCAAGTTTTCCTTGCTTTTCAGAGAAGACTAAGGCGCACGTGGCCACCTCAGCCTACAGGCAAAATATCTGGCATCGCCAAGTATTAGCCAGATGATATCAAGGCTCGGGGTGCCGTTGAGGCTTTTGAGAGGCCTCTCATTTACACGCTTAAGTCTGTCTGACAGGTTTTAGGCAGCCTGAGTATTTGACAGACATCGGGTCAAAAAAACTATTTGTTTAAAAGGCCCGTGATAGACAGATGGTCGCAGAATTTGGTGGTGAGATACTGAAAGAAATTTTTTTAAACCTGAAGTGTCGACTGACATCAAGTGGGATTCAATTACGCTCAACAAACAAGCCACTTTTTCAAATTTTTGGTTCAAATCTGTTCGAACAAACTTAGTGTACAAGGAACTTTCTTGTTTTCTTTTTGTTCAGTTCCTATGCATATACATTGTCTCCAGGGGCTATTTTGTCTGGCTTTGCGTGTTGTACCAGCTTTTATTGTAGTGACAAAAACTTGATAAACTTGTTACTTTTTTTATCTTTCAGATTTACTTTTTATTTCTGGCCCTTCCATATATACAGTGGAAACCATATATAACAGGCCCGGTAATAACAGGGATCCGGTAATAACAGAGATTTTTTAAATCCCCGTTTTTTTCCTACTCTTCGTCTCTATTAAAAGTTATCAGAAATAACAGGGCCTCATCGGAGCCCAACCGGTTATAGCAGGGACAAAGGCTCGTTAACAATGAGTAAAAAGTAAAAGAGAGAGAGAGGGAGAGAGAGAGAGATGTGTAGATCTAAGCCTACTTTTTTCATTATGGCCACCAACGATGTCAAACGCAGGAGAAAATGCCTTTCAATTGACAAAATATACGAAATAACCCAGGCTGTTGACCAAAAGCAAGCTTCACTGGCAGAGATTTGTCGTCAGTTCGACATTCCACAAGGGTCGATTCACACCATTATCGAGGATAGAGAGAAGATAGTGGCAGCATACTCCAGTTCCAATGGAAACTTTGCTCCGGATCGAAAGAAGATGAGACTACCCGATGCAGATGCTGTGGACCAAGCTCTTCTGGTGTTGTTTAAGGAGGCAAGGAGAAATGTGGTGCCAAAACCTCTGTTCGTGGCTACTTGTGGCAAGGAAACTACCCATGAATAAGTACAGCTGGATTAGTCCACAAATGCTTACTTTCCTTGCATGTCTGATTTAACAGGGATCGGATATAACAGGACTTTTTCTCTACTCCCACCATCCATGTTATATCAGGTTTCCACTGTATATTTATTGTGACAAGACCATCTTTTGCTCTTCTTGTTCCTAAAGTAAATGGGCTTTTTCCCCCCTTTTTCCTTCAAATGTTTCCAATTAACAAACTTTCCCATCTACTTTATCTCACAAGGACTGGATTGTTCTTTGTTTAGATACATTCATATTTGACCTGACTCTTTTAATTTCAGCTGGCACCTCTCAAGCGGTCAGTGACACAAAAGACGAGTTCCACAGCATGGGGGGTCACATCCAGCACTCACAGAGACTGCTCACAAAGTACGGACGTCGCGAATTCACAGACCGTCTCCTTATCTTGCTTGCACTCTTGTTTTTCTTTGCCACTGTTCTTTACATCATGAAAAAGAGACTATGGCCGTCTTGACAACATTTATCATAATGTCTAGGAGTTTTTTTGTGTCCAGTTTTTGTGTATAAACGTCTCTAACTAAGTCATTTCCAATGTCTGTTGTGTTGTTGTGGATTATAATGCTTTATTTGCATTGAATTTTAGTGTTCAGTTGTACAGTAAATGGTGCTTGATAACTTATTTTCATCATGTACTGTCTGACAAATGTTGCACCAGATAATATAAGACGGTACTACCATGTTATTTTTGTCTGTGTTGTCATATGTCGGTTGTGTCTGCTGGGGAAAAAAATATTTGAAACTTCCAAAGTTAAGTATCAATTCCAAGTAATCTGCTTTTTCAGTGATTTTGAAAGTGGATGTGATTTGAAACTGCATGAGCTGGGATATGGTTGAGTTATTTTGTCCCTTGTCTTGATCTGATGGCGCCTGAGTAAGTGCCCTCTGGATTTGTCATCGACACCACTCTGTAAAATGAAGGATTAATGCATGTAATTTGGCAAACAGTGAATTCAATGATTGAAGACTAATATATCTGCTGATGATAGTGAAATTACCTTCTTCAAAGGGTAGATCTCAAAGGAAACACTTAACAGAATAGGTCAGTTGTCAGAACCAATTTATAAAGAACAGATAGTTTTCACATTAGCGGTTAACTTGCTTTGCATGCAACTAAAGTTCATGAGAATTTAATGTGTGATTGGGGTATTTCAAAATCCAGAGTACATCTGCATTTGCTTTATAAATGTACTGTAACATCATGTGATACTGTTAAGAATTTCAAAACTCGTGCAAATGAAGAATCTTACTATGACTATAGGGTTCTGGAAACCTCATCATTTATATTCCGCTCTCTTGAATTTATTTATGTTGATGAATTAAAATGATGAACTAAAATTTTGATGTTTGTGCTTTCTTGTCTTTATGTCATAAAATAAGGATCATGTTAAAAACATTCTGATTCTATGCTACTTTTTGCTCATCATAGTCATAGTCTGTCTCACATAAAAGATCACCGTCTCCAAACATCAAATTGACCAAAAAATACTGATATAAAATGAAACTTGCCAATTTTTCTTGTTTTTTGAGGAGCAGTGTTGATGGATGATTATATGTGTCACGATGCAGTGAAATCAGGTGCTCGTCAATTTTGGGGCATTTTTTGAATTATTGGTATTTTTGTGGAATTAAAGTCTAGATATTTGCGATTGAAGGAGGTAGGGGTTGCCTGGTTCAGAGGTAAAATTAGCCAGAAAATGGCTGCCAAAATTAAGTGATTATCAAAGCTTGAGTATCTTGGAAACTGCTAATTTACATTTTTTGTTCCATTAATCGACGCTTTTCAATAAAATCTACACAGAAATGTGTTTCCTAGTGGACGTAAAAGGTGCGGAGCCAAAAAACAAAAATTTGATAAAAATTACCAAATAAATGGGAAAATGCCAGTTTCTTTGATTTCGTTAATTTGACGAGCTCCTGATTTCAGCTGCCTCACATATTATGACAGTATTGGTATCTATTTTCACCAATTCACCATAAGCCAGTAAATGAATTCTGTTTCATTTTTCACACCACCCACTGGTAAGTGCTTCTCAGTTCAATTGTGGCTTCTAGGCTTGAAATTATGAAAAGAAGGCAGTCAAATTTTTGAAATCATATAGATCTAATTGCATCAAATTAATTTTAGTAGGGCTAGATTTAAAGTCAAAGTCAACACATGCATCTTTGCTCTTAATGTGAAGTTCTGTTCAACTCGATATCAAGTGTTCATCTCCCTTCGTGGCCTCTTCTCATTCCTTCCTGATTAACGTTTTCGATACAACCAAAGTGACAAACTTGTATCCATATCAAGTCATAAAAAGATTGTTTGAGAAAGGGCATCTTTATATTGCTACCAATACCAGCAAGGTTTGTGCATTCAAGCCAGTTTTCAAGAAGTGGCTGCAAACTCTGCTCCTAATACAAACCTGTTCCATAATTTTATGCTTCAGTACATCAAAAAGCTTTTGAAGCTGTGGTGATATCTGCTGCTCTTCAAAATATTTAAATTAAAATGAAAGAAAAAGGCATTTTTCCACCAGTCTGGCAATTTTTATCAAATTTTTGTTTTTTAGGCTCAACAACTTTTCATGTCAATATAATATAAAAACACATTTCCATGTGAATTTTACTGGAAAAAGGTTGATTAAAGGCACAAAATATGTAATGTTTCATTTTCCAAGATATCTCAAGCTATTGGCTATTTTCTTGCTAATTTCACCACTCAAACTCAAACCAGGCGACCCCATGTCCTTCAATTGTAAATATCTCAAATTCTATTCAAGATAGGTGAAAGAAAAGCAAATGAATAAGCTTTCAGATAATACCAATAACTCCACATGCCCAAAAATTGACAAGCATCCGATTCCACCACGTCATGACACAATTATTATTCATCTCACAGGAAGAAATTTGACTTGGTCATTTACAATGGCTGTGGTGTTGGAGAGTTCATGTGCACTCACGCATACACATAACAAGAGAGGACATAAATTTTACATACCAAAACTCTCTCTCTCTTTCTCTCTCTCTCTCTCTCTCTCGCTTTATCTCTTCCTCATTTGCAGCACTGTGTTCAGTAGCCTCACTACTGTTGGTACAAATGAAATTCTACATCTTTCTGTTCCTGCTTTCTTAGAAATTAAAAATGAGTCTTTTACTGCGAGTTAATATAAAAAGTCCGATGCCAGTAAGTGGCTATGGTCTTATTATTTTGGTTGATACAGACAATACTTTGTCTGGTGCCATGTTGTGCAACAAGTTGAAATTAAGATTCAGCCAGCATGTCATGTCAACGCCAGTGTCTTTTAGAGAAGAGCATTTCTCAATTGGACTTTGTAAAGTAATGATGTGACTGACATTCTGTCAAACCCTTGTTTATTACTTGCCACCTATGTGTTCATAAAACCAGATGTTACCTGTAGGCAACTTCGGTTTATCAGTACAGAAACTTTGTGCGCCCGCTCATATGACCTTATGCAGCAGCGAGCGCCGTAAAACCCTTACCAAAAAAAAATAAAAATGTTGTGTCTTTGATGGTACGGTCTAGCAGGTAGGCTACATAGCAAACACGTAATACGCACATAGCGAACAGATTTTCATATATTCAGAATTTGTTTTATACACACAGCGCATATTCTTTGCATTTAAAACACATGCATAGTGACATTCATACAAAAAGATTTCCACATTTGTCCAGTTCCCTGTGTGCGTGCTAGACAGTTAAACAAGGCTTTTTTATTATTCATCAGAAAAGATTGGGGAAAACGAGATGCTGACTGTGAAGTGAGGTACAATGTTTCAACATTGGTTTATCAGGAGTTAAATTGTGGTCAGTAGTTCAGCCAAATTCATTCACCTTCAACTTAGAGCGGAAATAGGTACCACTGACTTAAGATGTCACTGCAGCGCATCTGGTCCTAAATATATGTACAATATACTGAATACTATACTATGTTCATGTAGCCTACTTTACTTAATAAGACAATAATAATACTAATTTTGCCACTCTGAAAACCTAACATTAAAACAGTGCAAAAGTAAGACACATGAACGCTTTTACAGAGATTGTCTCTTTCCCTATTTCACTCCTATGAAGTACATTGGACTTCAGCATGGGGAAATCATTTTATTGAGTATTTCCCTGTATCAGCTGATGTTGTGTCCTACTCGGCCTAGGTTGGCCCTGGCAGGCAGGATCGAAGCAGCAACTGCTCACCTCTAAAATGATCTAAATTGTATGATCTATGGAGACATAGAACAATTGCAATCAAAACACAACGAATCTCAGAGATACACAGCAAAACAATCTACTGTCAATAACTCAAAACACCTCTTGCAAATTTCTGTGCATGTTTACATTACATATATAATCATATATTTCATATATATGTGAGTCCCCCATCTTTAGTGTTGGCCAGCAAGCACTTTGTGTGCGGCTGACATGACTGAGTTGGTCACAGTGGGGCGGTCAGCACAACCATCAACAACACATTGCGAGTGGTTTGAGGTCGCCGCTGGTAGGTAGGTCCTATTTCTTTTTCTATCTATATCTATCCATTTATCTATCTATCTATCATTTATCAGTCTGGCTGTCTGTCGATCTGTCTGTCAGTCTATCCATCTATCTACACGGGCTGTCCCACGGAAAATCGGAATTTGGCTGTAATTGGTTTCTGACCACAAAAGGTCTCAAACCTATAGAAATACACACTGAAATAAAGTCAGTTTAGGGGGAGAAAGTAATGGCAAAGTCACACGTATATGAGTGGTGCAGTAAGTTCAAAACCGGGCATATGGACGTCAATGACAAAGTTCACCCAGGACCTCGTTTTTCTGCTAAGACTGAGGACAAGAGTCGCATTAACGAACTCATTCAAACAGACAGGCGCCTAAAAGTTCACGAAATTTCCGAGTCGCTAAACATTTCAAAGTCGACAGTCCATAGGATAGTGTTTGATGAGCTGCACTATCGAAAGGTCACTGCTCGATGGGTCCCAAAAGAGCTGACAGCTGACCACAAGACGCAACGTATTGAAGTGTCTCAGACTTTGTTGAATCGTTGTCGCCAAGCTGTCACGGGAGTCGTGAACGCATCTTGAGACCTCCAACAATACGATGAAGCATTCCTGAGAAGCATTATTACAGGTGATGAGACTTGGGTACACCACATGACCCCTGAGACGAGGGATTCAATGGTTTGGAAGCACACGTCTTCACCTCCCCCGAAAAAAGTTTAAAGTTCAGCCATCGGTGAAGAAACTCATGGCCATGGTTTTCTAGGACGCTAAGGGTGTTCTGCTTCTTGACATTCTGGAACCAGGACAAACTGTTAAAACTAACAGACACTGCCAGTCTCTTGGTAAGTTGAGAGAGGTTGTCCACCGAAAAAGACCAGGCCGGTTGTCCAGCGGGGTCATTTTGCAGCATGACAACGCAACGCCACACACCGCGAACGCTACAAAAGACTAGATCCAAAGGTTCGGCCGGGAAGTTCCGCCACACCCCCCTCACAGTCCTGACTTGGCCCCGTCAGATTATCATCTTTTTGGACCAATGAAACGCCACATTTCTGGACAGTGATTCAACGACGACGAAGACCTCGTGGATACTGTGAAAGATTGGTTGAAATCTCTTGATCAAAAATTCTTCAGGGAGGGTATCTTCTCCCTGATCCAGCAATGGGAAAAATGCGTCCAGCAGGATGGTGATTACATTGAGAAATAAAGCACATGTTTAGGTATGATGTGTTACATTTTTATTATAATAGGACAAAGATTGTTGCTTTTAAGGACCTTTTCCGGTTTTCCATAGAACAGCCCTCGTATCTTATTTTTTCTCTTCTAAGTGAGTAGTCTGCAGGTACATATCAAATGACATGACTGAATCTGAAAGAGAATTCACAACAACATACTACTACTCTTATTACTAGCACATTCATTTGAAATGATACACAGAAACACAGAAATAATTTTGCAAAATAATTTAATTTCATCAGTCATGGCAATGGTGTTTCAAATACCTGTGAGTCTTTGCATAAGAACATACTTCTGAGCTTGTAGCCTGTCCACCAATGAACCATTACGGCTTAAATAGTTTCTTGGGTGTTAATTGGGATCACTTTCTTGGTCTGACCTCTGATGACCACAACTTGCAAAATCTCTGACTTCTCAACTGCGTCATAAACATCTGCAGCAGACTTGACTCGGCTCCCACTGATCTCGATGATGATGTCTCCGGCTAAGACACCACCACTGGAAAAAAACACCAAAAAAACATAAAAACTGGAGAAAAAGTGAAATTATTTCGTTGATAGTTCAAATTGAAATCAATTTTGAGTCACGCATATATATATGTAATGGTAGCATAAGCTGCATCACATAACCAAGCCAGGCATTGGACACGCAATGACAGATAATTGCGCATCATATTTACAGGTTTAACTAAACATTTCAGTCATCCGAACACCACTGAAAAACCTCTCAAAGAGGTATTTCGAGTGACCATTCAAAACATATTTCAGTTAATCCCCATCCCCCAATCATATCGCTAGCCCAGTCCTGGACTCCTGTGCCCATGGACAGTTGGGTGTGAAAACACTCTCCATCACTCTCTTTGTTCTGCGTGAGGGGCAGTCTCGCCAAATATCCAGTTGTCTAGACTTGTGTTATGAAAGCCATGTATGTCGTAGTGAAAATTTCCCTTTGTCAATCTTTACCTGTCAGTGTGTTTCGCAGATCGAAGTATGTGTTTAGAGGAAGTGACCGTGCATTTGCACCAATGATTGGGCAAGGAAGACATCAATAGCATACAGGTGCAACAGCACCCAATTGACACTCTAAATATGACCTCTACTTCGACAAAGACACTCCTCTACTTTCCTACACCCAGCAGCTAATAAAAGAAAAGATTCTGTATTGGACTGAGCATCCACAGAGACAAAAGCAAGATTCTCAAGGTCAAAGCAAGTCCTCACATATGAGCAGGGGATCCCGGGATGACTTTGTACACGAAGACACCACCATCAACATCCGGGAAGCTTGGCACTCGGACATTGTTCTTCAGATCCCTCATCACACTCTCTGTCAAAGTGAGCATGGTGATACCTATGAAGCGCCGTTTCAGGAAACCGTTTTCTGTCTGGCCTGAAATGACACAAAATTTGGAAGCAGTTTATACGACATGGAGAAGACGGTCTGAATAGCTGCTGGACTAAAGGTTTAGAACGACACTGCGCAAACCCTCAACCTTGTGACTGGCATGTAGAGGTTGAATATTTTAAACTATTTCAAACACATGCCAGAACAGCCAGTCAGTAAAAAAAAAAAAGCACATAGAGTTCAAGTAACCCATTGATTATAATTAATGTATTCAATTGTGTCATGACGAGGAGGAATTGTGTGCTCGTCAATTTTGGGGCATTCACGGAATTGTTCATGTAATCTTAGTTTTAGTTTAAATAAAAGTGTTAACTCTTTAAACCCCATCGGACGCTGGGAGCGTCTGGCGGTAATAATGTTGTTCCCCATCCGACAGTACTAGACACAACCGTTTCGTTTTCATTTAGTGCTAGTTTTGGCTTGTTTTTGGGAACTATTCCCTAATCAAGTAGTTTAGTAATGACTAAGCCTTTGTTTCCCCTATTTAGAAGTTGGAGGCAAGCTTTTGGGGTTATAATGAGACATAGTGCACCAGATTTAGGTGATTGTGGAAAAAAAGTCCGGGAAATGTAGAATAAAGTCAGGGCTTAAAGAGTTAAGACACTTTCAACACAATTCTGTCATATAAGTCCCTCAGCCTGTTCATATGCCTTGCTTCCATTTTTAAAATAAATCCCTGTATCTTTATAGAGTAAAAGAGAAAGACTAAAGAATCGGAGCATGAGGGTAGACAATTCAACAATTACATGTCAATGTATTGTGTAAGAGACAGCCAGTCAAAAAGAGGTATTAGACGGCATGTTCATTATTAGTCATGGTAGTTTTTGTTTGCTTGTTTGTTTTTGTTTTGTGGTAGAATGGGAAATGAAAACTTAATTTAGATGGCCAGTCACGATACAGCACACCAGGCCTACACACTGCCTGTGGGTACCACTGCCTGCTGTGCCACGTTAAGACCACCGCCTTCATCCCACCTCGTGAGTGATACACAATCAGGATTAATGGATAGCGAGGGTCAAAGGTGAAATCTAGGCCAACGTTCACAGAGAGGAAGCCATTTTTCAGCTTTCACCAAAACATAATAACGACTGTTACCAAAATAGACAGTTGACGACTTGTGACAATTTTTTTTCTTTCATAGCAGATGTAAACAACTAGCACCTCAATTATACTGTGCACAAGACAAAAACTACAGTTGAATCCTCATTTTTAAATAAACCAACAGGAACCACTCATATATATTTTTTAAGTAAAGTTTATAAGAACCATTTCAAAATATATATTTTGAGCAGCGTTGAGACAGGGCCTTTTGTCAGTTGACCTGACAGTATATTTCTCATCGGCTTATGGGCTTGACATAAGTGGACTTCCACAGAACATGTGAAGAATTTAAACGATACAAACCTCTTTTCATCAAAGCTTCAGCTTTTGACAAGAATTTCTGGGCATAATCAGATGGTATGGCAAACGAAATGCCTGTGGTCACTTTCATTGTATTAATGCCTATTGCACGTCCCTCCTGAAAAGTAAATTTAAAAATTAAAGCTAAAATTAGATTCAAAAATACGGTAAATAAGGAAAAAAAGAAACATTCTACAAAAAACATGCACTACATTTACAGCTACAAATTTTAACAATGAATAACAATTCCTGAAGAACTGGAGACAAAGACACATTTATCTTTGATAAAATTATGCCTCAAGGCTTGCTTTTTTACATATATTTCATGTTTAGTTCTACACCATTTTAATCCTCCTCCGAATCAAGAGATGTATTTTTCCCTCATGAATGTATGATATCTGAGAAAGGAAGCGTAAAAAACTGAATTCAGTTGTACTGACAAGCTTTATTTAAAAAAGGGTTAAATAATAACTACATTGAATGTGGCATCGGTGGCCTAGTGGTTAGGCTACCCGACTCGCAATTGTGAGGTTACGGGGTCGGGGGTTCGAGCCACAGGCCCGACGCTGAGTCCTTGGGAAAGGCGCTTTACATGAATTTTCCTCATACAGATGGAAATGGGTACCCGGCCATAGACAGCAAAAGATCTTGTCAGTATATTAGTGTTTTAGCGCTTGCACTGTATGCTTCCAAGGAAGTTGAGTTTGTTTCAGTATCAGAATGGTCTCAGGTCTGCTGGGGTAATAGTAGGGCCTATAGATTGGGAAGTGCCTAGAGCTTGCTGTTGCGCAGGGATTTGCGCTATACAAATGATATCTATTATTTAAATCATAAAATTTCATCTTTAACAAAACATATCTGACACTTTTTAAAGTGTCTGTCAAGTTTTAATGAATATGCACATTATTCGTTTTCGTAATATCTAAACCGCTTCAATCTTTTTTAACTAAACTATTTAAAAAAATTTTTAAAACAAGTTTAAAAATATTTGTTTTTGTCTGTCAGTTATTGGCCTTTTCAGTTAACAGGAGCAACATACCAGATCCACCAGTGGTCCTCCTGAGTTTCCAAACTGAAAAAAAAATAAATAAAAAGCATGTCAGTGGCAAATTGAACTCAGTTGGGTGACACAGGAAACAACTTCCCCTTATAGGCGTAGCCTACATTTTAAAAAAAACAACCTAGAGAGCTATATACCTATAACTCATCTCTCACAAATAGAAAAATGCTCGTTTCTAGCTGCTAAACTGACTGCAACACATGCACAAGAAATATATCTTATCTGACTAACTGCTTGTCTTTCATTTTAAGGGGAAAGATGACCCTGCTTATAATCTATTTGCACTGTCTTGGTAGCTGTTGATATTTGCTGTGAAAACTCTTATTCAGCGAAAGGAGATGGATTCCCGGTCTATTTAATTCATTAAAATCAATAAAAAATAACTTGGATTCAACGAACATGTAAATGAGCAAGCTCAGATTCAACGAAATCGCTTGCAGGGTGAACAGTCCCCACTGACGTGGGTTCGCTCATTTTCCTAGAAACCATCCATGGCCCCTTACTTATTCGTGAACCATGTTTCACTTAGCCTATTGTTTATATCTCTTATGCAATCAATCAGCGGCCTTCTTTCATACCAACACATGCGTTGTTAGCACACATATTTATGTCTTAGCAAGTGTCTTGGTCGGAAAGCACACATATGACAGTGTGTGCATGTGTCTTAGGGGAGGGGGCACAAATAGTCTGGGTATAGAACGTCAGTAGAGATACAAATGCATCATTTATCCCCCCCCCCCCCACCTATCAATATTATAATGATGAACTAGTTTAGACATAGATCTAGGTAATAAATAGCGTGCTGGTCTGTGGAATCAAACATTGCTTTATGTTAGGCTCTACACAGCAACATAACTTGTTCAGCAAATAATGCATTATAAATTATAGATGACATTAGCGTCAATTTGAACGAATTGGCCCTTTAGCAAAATGTGTGCAAGGTACAGTTTAGTGTATTTTCTTGGAATTTTCCAGCATTTTTTTTTTGTGGTATGGCATCAATGAAATGAAAATGACTCTCATTTGAAATCAAACTACTTTTGATTGACGGAAATCGAAAAGGGGTAAAAAAGCAGTCATTTCAGGGTACCCTACCACCTATTACTCCCCTTTATATATTACTAGCTCAGTGCCTGTAATTATCTCCACAAAAACCTCATGCTTGCTACAACGAACACTCAGATTTGACGAAATTGGAGGTCAGGCCAGAGGACTTTGTTGAATCCGAGTTCCACTGTATATCAGCACAGGACCATCAATAGCCTCCCTTTCTTACATTGATGACAGCGTCGGTCTGGATGTAATCCATATCTTTATTTCGAAGGCCCAGCTCCTTACTGGCTCGCTGAACACTGCTGACTATGCCACAGGTCACTGTGTTGCTCAGAGATAATGGGCTCCCCATGGCTATCACCCATTCTCCTGGTCTGATTTGTGAGGAGATCCCCAGAGGAATTGTGGCGAGATGGCTCTGAAACAATCAAACAAAAATAAGGAACACATCTGTTCTCACTCTGTGTAGTGTGAAAAAAATGTTTTCAGTAACTTCAAGAAATGTAGAAACCAACAGAGAAGCCCGCAAGCTGCACACACCCACAAGCGGAAGTGAAGTTTTTGAATGTTCAAAATGTGGCAAACTTATTTGCTCAAAAATTGACTAACGCCTGATTCCACAGCATCGTGACACATATATAATATACAGTTTAGAGCTGGATCCTGCTCGCCAAATCTGAGAGTGGCAATTCGCGATTCAGTCTGCTTCAAACAATCGTGAGTACGCGAGCACTTGTGGAACACTAAGCCTCGGGCTCGTTGTATGCGTGAAACGGAACAGCGTCATATCAACGCCACTTCGCGAGTCCCACTCTTATTGTCCTGCCATCCTCTCTGCCCCCCACCCTTCATGGCACTCCTCTACTGACCCCAATTACCGACCCCATAAATTCCACCCCCCCCCCCCCTCCATGATTCGCTAAAACAATGGCTCCATAAAATTCCTTCTGCCTATTGGTTGGAACCCGTTCATTTTGTTTTAATAGGGGGGTTGGACTATACCATCTTTTGTAAAATAAGGGGAGCCATACTAAGTGTTCCGTTCCATTCTTGCGCTCGCGACTCGACTCGCGACCCAGCAGTAGGTTACAAACAAGCTGCAAGGCGGTGACAGCGGCAGGGGAGTGAATCGGAAGGCGATACTGTTCCGCATTCCGCTGAAGTGAATCGCGAATCGCTTTCTGCAGGGAAGAGTGGTGATTCAGTTCCGTTCTTATGCTCGCGACCCAGCTGTAATACAGTTATTGCTTAATTATTCTAGAAAGTATTCAATATATTATTTATATACTATGCTACATCTACAGGTGGCTGTTAGAGCAGGTTCAACTGTACATGAATGTTTTAGCAAAAGCTCAATCCCGAAAAATTCCAAAGGAAACGGATTTAAAAAAGCATGGAAAGGAAAAAAAAACGCTCGTCATAGATACCGCAGGAATCTTGACGGTCGCAAGATCAGAGATGGGATCTACAGCTGTCACTTGGCCTTCAAAAACTCTTCCATCTTGTAGCTTGACACTCACTGAAGACTTGTTTGCTACAACATGAGCATTTGTTAATATGATACCATTGCTCCTCACTACGAAGCCAGAGCCATTGGAGAGAGTCACAAGTTTCCCTGTGAGAGGATGCCTGAAATCCAAAAAGAGACAACAAATTTCACTAATTCAGCCAACTTTCGAGACAAAAACTGGACTTTACAAAGGCAGAACAATATTCTGATTTCAGCAGTGATGGACGCACACCAATCAGCACAATTCATTTTAAATGTGTTTTGGTTCTTTAGACATACAGTATAACACGGATCTCAAATTCACTGAGACTGGCCTCGGCAGTTTGAGGAATCCATAGTTTGAGGGATACGTGAACAGTGTTAATGCCATTGGCTGAGTCAGAAAAACAAGGGAAGCAAAAAAGATTGCTACTTTAGGGGCAAAACAATAGATTGTGTGATGCACAACCCTTCCTTTCCACACAAACGTAACTAGGCCAAGGGTCTCGGTCTCGGCACGCTTGTCGAGCAGCGCGCTAAAATTAGCACAGCTAGTTGCTTCTGAGGAGGAGGGAAGGTGATATTTTACCAACCATGCATTTTTCCAGGGGGGGGGGGTAATATTACTATTATTATTATTTTGTCTCAAAGTGCACCTCAAAGAACATTGTAGACTTCTGCTGCAACATAATTAGTTAGACTATTCCGTGTTTGTGATCAAGCTTCACGTAATTTTCTTACAAAGATAAAGAAGAAGAAAAAATGGGACCACAGGCACAGTTCGACGGATGTGTGATTTCGAGTCTTCTGTGTTCGACCTATCCGTGTTATACTGTAGTAGGTCTGTTATTATGTAGGCCCTAGAGCAAATCTTTCTCATTCTGGAACAATCAGCGTTTAGTAACATAAAACACCCAGTTCACATGGAAAGCAGCTATTCTTTAAGAAGGATGAGCCCACTGGTGGACAAATTGAACCCTTAATCCCCGTAAAACGCATGCTTCATTATTTATCCGTTCTTTAAATTTACTTCACAAAAAGTCAGATTTAACAAGAGAGACAGTACAATTACGAAGTTCCAGTCAGAAATTAAAAATTGCCTTGCAGTCAGCTCCCTAGTTCAGATCCTCCCCAAAATAAAAACATACTTTAATTAAGGGATGAAAGTCCCTGTCCACATCTACGAGCACATGAGATGATGATGGATCCGACCATTTTCCCTTTTTTTTTTTTTTTGTGTATGGCGTGGTAGTGGGGTGGTGGCGGGGGGGGGGGGGGAGGATATCTTTTAATGCTCAATGATCAAACTTTACAAACCTTCCTTTGATTTCTAAGAACACAACAGCTGGAGCAGCCTTTTCCACAACATCAGCAATAAAATTGTTTTTGTTTCGACTGTCAGCATGAACCACAGAACTGAAAGCACCGGTGGGATGTAATTGCAAAGAGTCCAAGAACCAGTAAGCTCCAAAAGATACCACAGCTCCTACAGCACCAAACCATCCCAAATGCTGCACACCCTTGAAAGAATTTTTATTACTTTTAATCTTCTGGAAAACAACATTTTTTTTACCAAGCCTAAGCTGGTTCACTTGTGAAGAGCAGTGAAAATGTCTCAAATGCACAATCAGTTTTGGGTATTGAACTTGACAAGTCAGTTTTTGCTTTTGCGTCACAAAAAAATGCCTGGTTATGACACTGCTATCACTCGGCTGACAGGCTTCAACCGCTGACAGCAATCCACGACTGTCAAAAACAAGAGTCTTGGCATTATTCGGTTTGATCAACGGCCTGACTAATGACTGAGATATCACCCTCGCAAACATAGTTGGTTTTGGTAATAATTACTGGACCGGTCCAGGGTGGTTATCACATTTCATGAAGGAAAGGGAAAAACAGCTGTTTTGTTATGATATCAAATTGAGGTCCATGGAGGCATCATGACCAAAACAAGAGCAACAACATTTATTGCAAATTCTTGGAAGAAACTGTGCTGTGGCCCTGTGGTGAGCTGTGACTCTGTGACCTCTCGTGAACCCTTTGGAACTGACACAAAATTTGCTTGACACCGGAATCGGATACCCGTCGTAGAAATCGGCATTATTTCGTTGCTAATATTATTTTCATCATCATCATCGACATTGTTACAGCTGTTATTTGTAATACTGGCTGTGTTTTAATACATGAGGGCCTACAGGTCCATGATGTCGTCACTCGTTGTCCATCATTGCCACTGCGCATTTCTACAGCCCAAGTTCTTGTTGTATTACTATCGCTAGCTAGTGCCGTTAATCATTCACTTGGTGTGAATATTGATTTCTTTTAAATGCATGCTATGCCGGACACAGTGACGATATGAGGCATGCCACTTTCATTTAGCCTATCCTATCGTGAGTCTCGGGATCTACACATTTCCAAGGGGCTCTCGTGGCCAAGGGGTTTGTCTCTAATTCAAAGGTCCCGGGTTTGCATCTGGAGAGTGACGGATAATTTTCTTCTCTAAAATTGTCTCCTTTCACCTCCTTTCCTGTTCTCTAGCAATGTTCTGTCGTCTGCTTTCGTCTCCACTTTTTGCCCTCACCCCCTTTGCCCCCTCCTCTGGGCTTCTGACTTTTTTTGCAACCTTATCCACTACATGTAGTTTGCTACTCCTTGGCTCCTTCTTAATTACTGTTGTCTTTCAGCCACACCCTTGAACTTGTGATAGGAAAGATATACATCTAGTCTTCTCGGAAAAGTTGGGCACGTTAAAGATCCATTGGTGGTCTGAAATCGATAAGAGTAGGCTTCGGCTGCAACCCAGGCAAAATTTAAAAATTTCCTTCCAACTGAAATTGTTTATTGTATCCCGCTCGCTCATATGACATTATGCAGTTGAGAGCGTCATAAAACACTTACCAAAAAACAAACAAACAAACAATTATCCAGTTGCCCCTCCCCTTTACAAGTCCAAAATTTATAGCTTTTCATCTCTGGGCACGTTCCCCCGCCTTTGCCGTGTACGCACCACACCACTTAAAATTTAGTGTGTCTTGCAAATTCGGGAGTAGGCCCTATAGAGACAACATGGTCAGGGTCGAAGAGTTCACAGTTCCAGTTCGATGTGATCCCGCCTGGGGCGAAAGTGATGTAAGCGTAGGTGGAGAGCTCAGATTTGAGTAGTTGGTGTGAGCCCGTCTGGGCATACATTGTAATTTGTATGTACCTACCGTTTCATCGAGTTCTACAACGCTTTTATGGGATCATATCTAATCTTTGACCCGACGGACAGTTCAATGATCTCAACCTTTCACACTTGGTTGATTGGCTGTGCCTGCCGGGTTTTTGTTTCGTAAATTAAATTATTATCTGAAAGGCGGGAACAATGCAGACAAATATAGTCTCCCCTCCCTCCCTCTTCTTTCCACACACACACACACACACACACACACACACACACACACACACACACACACACACACACACACACACACACACGGCCGTGTTGCTGTCATAGTGTCACTGTTTGCCCACTTGAATAATAATAATATAAGTTTTTGGCTGGTTAACAGTCGACGATATATCTTGCGTGCTGTATACACCTGGTGTTCAGTGGGTGGAGATCGGACAATAAATAATAGAACAAACACCTCTGTATTGTGTCAGAGAGTTAGTTTAAACTGGAATGTATTTTTTTCCTTCAATGTGTGGCACTGAACCCTGTAAAATACGCATTGAAAACTCGCGTTAAGTTCTTTATTGTCACATAAGCTCGCTGTCAAGGGAATGTGAACACACCAACCAGCTGAATCTCATTCTGTTGCAAATGGAAAGCAAAAACTAGACGCACAGGTCAACCAGAACGCCATCGACAAAGTTGCTCAACAGAAAATATGAATGGTCAAAATCATGTAGTATGATGCAGAGAGTACACAACAGTGAAGGCAACATTGGGCAGAGAATGTCGCAACTGGCCACTTGGAGCTACAAATGCTCAAATTGAAACCCTGATAGAAGTATTAGAAGAGCATAGTGAACATGGAGTATGGAGATGCTGTGATCTTCTCTGATGGATCAGTCAACAGAGGAGTCAAATCGGGCTGGACCTTCAGTATCAGAGTTGATGGGGTAGTAGTTAGGCCTATGTAGTGACAAAGCAAAGTGGAGCAACTGCACTGACAACATCAAGTACATGTATTGTGTATGGAGATAAAAACCATAAGTGAAGCTCTACATTGGATCAAGAACACAAGCCATCAGCGAGCAGTAATCATTACTGACTCAATGAGCACACTACATAAGGATGCTGTGTGCGGACTGGAAGACTACGATCAGGGAGAGCAGCCTGGAAAGAGTGGCCTGGATCTTCTGCCCGGGCCACGCGGGGGTAACCGGCAACGAGAGAGCAGACAGGCTAGCTGGAGAAGCAAAAGTGGGAGGGAATTTGACACTGGACCCTCCAACCGTCCTAACCGTCGTAAGGGAAAGATTGAGGAAGAATAGGGCGGATAGCGGTTCCCACACTCTAGGTAGATTGAAGGAGAAGGGGATCCAAAGAGGAGAGGGGAAACACAGCCATCTGTGCGGACCAGTCCGACGGATCTCCAACCAGATTATGATGGAGATTACAAGCAGACAGACTCTGGGATGGATCCTGAGAAGGGGGGGGGGAGCAGAGATGGACATGTTCGACTGCGGGGTCCCCAACACGGTGGACAAGTAAGACAAGTAAGGCCTACAATACAGACGTAGATAAATCCTTTTTCCTGATTTCAAGCGTCGTATTGGCACAACACGTTTATGATACTTTTGAATCTAGATATATACAATAAGGTGATTAAAAAAAAAAAACACCGTTTTTTCTAAACGTCTCGCACAAAATTTGTACCAGAATGTTGTAATTTGATCCAGATTTAATTCATTCAAAAGGGATTTGTTTAAATTTAACATAAAAGTCACAAAGAAGAAACTCATTTTCGAAAACGAAAATGGCTTTTTATAAAAACCGCCTTAATATGCAAAATACACCAATTTAAAAGATCTTGTAAGGAAAGTCATGAAATGATTGGGTTGTATTTTTCCTTTCCTTTTATGTTTGAAGTCTAATCTTTCCATCACTGTAACCTTTATTAAACAATATTTCTTTTCTCCAACAGAGTTAAAAATCAATTAGTTTTTAATTCTGAAATTCCGAGAATCAATGGTCTATAATAATTAAGTACATGTATAATTTATGTCCTCCTTTGGACTCGACAAATTTTAACACGTCGTTCGTAATGTATAGAGGTGCCCGAGGGCCAAACACAAGGATCCACTAAACAATGAGTAGGAGTACTCACAGCCACACACACCTCACAGTATGAGGGGCTGCTTCTTGAGACTATATGGGTGAGGGCGAGGTTACCCAAATAGAGGAAATGTTCACACAGTTCAAGATTTTGAGTTACGTCGCGCTGCCATTGGAAATATGGGCCTGACCCTCCACTTACCGGTATGTCTCATTGAGAAATATCCTAATTTGTAGAGCAGATATGTATTCCTGCCTTAGACACAAGATGCAGAATGGGTATAGGCGTCCATTTGGGCGAAGATACAAAAATTAATAATTTTTACAGAGATATGCCGGTCTGCCCTGGCACGGCAGAACTATTGTGGATTTATCTAAAATGAATATCAGGCAAATTCCTTTTGACTTCCAAATGTTGCGTACATACAAATTTGAAACGCCAAACTTCAGTGTGGAGGAAAAAGTTGTACAGGTTTGTTTGTTTGTAGTTGTTTTTTTGTTGTTTTTTTTTGGGGGGGGGGTTGGATCACCCTGTATATTTTCTCGTTGTCTTTTCATCCATGCGTGTTTGACTGGCATTTCTCAGTCATTACAGTGGAACTCGGATTCAACGAGGTCGCCGGGCCAGACCTAAAATCTCGTTGAATCCGAGTGTTTGTTATAGCAAACATGAGGTTTTGTGTAGATAATTACAGGCACTGAGCAAATAATGTGCAAAGAGAAGTCACAAGTAGTGCCTGAAATGCCTGCATATTATTATGAGCTGTGTAAAAAAAAATGACCGATTCGTTCAAATGCACGCCTGTGTCATCTTGAATCTTGATTGTTTACCAAAAAGTTGTGTTGCTGTGTAGAGCCTAGCATACGACAACTTTTGATTCCATAGACAAGCACACAATTCATCAAGTAGATTTACGTCAAGACTAGCTTATCATTGTAATAATGATCAGTTGCCAAGGGGGGAAAAAGACTGACGCGTTTGTATCTGCAACGTTCAAGTTCAACGCCGGGACCGCTATTGCCCCCCCCCCCTCCCCGACACGCATGCAGGCCGCCCATCCGACCCCGACACACGCCAGGGTAGACACTTGCTCGTGCCCACAACGCATGTGTTGGTACAACTGTATGAAAAAAGGCCGCTGACTGGTCGTTTGCAATCGGCTAAGTGAATAATGGTTCACGATGAAGCTGCAATGGATGGTTTCCGGGAATCCAGGAATAGATCAAGTTCGTTCGGGGAGAAAAATTAGCGATGCCACGTCTGCAGGGGCTGTTCACCCTGGAAGCGACCTCGTTGAATCCGAGCTCGCTAATATAAGTGCATGTTGAATCCGGGCTATTTTTATTTTATTGATTTTAAAGAAGAAAAAAAAAACGGGGAATCTATCTCATCTCGTTGAATGAGCCCATCACAAGCACATACAGTCCACACGACCTAGTGGGCGACTCCCTGAGCCTGAAGGCAAAGGGAACGGTCTGAGGTAAAGCCATACTGGCTTTTCCTTTTTCCTCTTGTACTGCGAGTGTGAGTCTTTTGCACGTCTTGTGTTCCCATCCCTTAAAAGAACCGCGCCTTACATGTTTTGTGCCTTTGATCAATGTTTTTCAATAAAATCCACACAAAAAATGTGTTTGTTTTAGTAGGTTTTTATGGCGCTCGCAACTGCATAAGATCATATGAGTATGAGCGCCAAGGGGTGGATGTCAACAGAGAAGTCTTTACAGGGAATCAGGCTTACTCTGCTCACCTCTCTGGCTTCAACAGCACAAAGTCTGCTTCGACTATCAAGGCACCCCGGAAATGGTGGGTCACAAGATCACATGAGTGTGACAAACATACAAAAGAAGTAGAGGAAAAATGATGATAGTAATAGTAAGGATTAGGAAAGAAAAAGCAGCAGTACCACAGTTATGAGCAAAGCGTTGAATCAGCCCATTTACAATTCTACTGTGCATAAGAACAAGCTAATGTCCCCCTTTTGGGAATGGCCTAAAGACACTTCAGTCTTTAAATGAAAACAGGTGTTGAACCAAAAAGAAATGATTAGAATTTATATGCCCAATTGGCGGAAAAAATTCTCAATTCTTCGATTTCATTAATTTGATGAACACACGATGCCATAAATATAACACAATCTGACTGGTCCTCCTTGTGTCCTTTGAACAGTTCAAAAGTACAGAGAATACTGAAGGGTTGTGGACCTCAAGGAAAAAAGCAGTTTCGTTTCGTTGTTGCCAGACTACATACTCATTTCTTGGACTCCTTGTCACAGTCACACTTTTCTTTTCCACTGAACCAAGCCATTACCAGGAGACAAATTACAGAGAAGGTTTCGCTTCTATTCTTTACATAAAATCTATTCAAATGGGACGTTTTAAAGGTGAAATGTCCCAAGAAAATAGCTTTCAATGAGAAGGACATCATAATTGTGATGAAGCAAAATCCATCTATTGAATGTACCTATTGACCTGGACGAGTTAAAAATGCATATTGGCCCTACATGTCCAATAGGTTCACAATGAAATGAAAAGCTATTCAAAAGTTGTAGCCTTTGAACTAATATGGGGTCTAAAGTCTAAGGAATTCGTAGAGCATGGGTTTAGAAATAACCTAATAAAGATTTGAACTCGGTTGAAAGAATTATGACTTACACTGCACTCTGTGAGTTGTCTAGAGCATTATATCCAGCACCTCGAACAGATCAATAACTTTTCGAGCCATAACAGGCTATTTCACATAGTTGTCATCAAATATTCAAGAGAACTATCAAAAGTTTCACTCCATATAATTATAACTGTATGTTTACCCCCCAAGCAGGGAAAGAGTGTAAAACCCACCCAGAAGAGAGGTATCACTGAAAAACATTCAGTAATGAAGAAGCTGCCCCCCCC